AAATAATATTAATGAAAATAAGAAAAAATAAAACGAGAATGAAATTATTGCGTGGGCGAGCAAGTTTTTGACACCCCCATTTTTGGCGATTTTTCATTTTTTTTTGGCTATGTCAAATGCCATGAAATTTTATACATATGTATCTTACATCATAGAGAACCTACAAATAAAGTTTGAAAAAATAATATTTTTTTTCAGGCCCCGAAATAAAGGGAAAACAAAAAGTGAAAAGAGAAAAAGAACAAATTAGTAAGTGGGAAAGCAAGTTTTGACACCACCATCTTTGCCGATTTTTCATTATTTTTTGGCTCCACAGAATGACTTCAAAATTAAGAGACAGGTAGATTACATAACAGAGAACTAACAAAAAAAAAATCAGAAAAAAATAATAAGTTTTAGGTACCGAAATAATGTTTTGCGGGGTCCGAACCCCTTCGAGTTCGGCCCCCGTACGGGGACCCGAACGCCCGAACGTTCGGGGGTCAGCTTAGGGGCCTCCGTACGTTCGGCCTGGCAACTCTGTATATCTGTGTGTGTTCTCTCTCTCTCTCTATCTATCTATCTATCTATCTATCTATCTATCTATCTATCTATCTCTATCTATCTATCTATCTATCTATCTATCTATCTATGTCTGTGTGTGTGTTGTCATATTAGCTATACAGCGTATACACTCAAAAAAAACATGACTGTGCCAGACTGTTTGGTCGGACTTTCACCGACTCATCAGGACTGTGTGTGCGTGTCTCCCTCCCGCCCCCCACCCCCCCCTGCCAAGAGTGCTAGCGCACAAGTGCAGGGCAGAATGAACGATTGAGACTGGGGCAGGCTGGTCTATTTGTAGTGTTGACACAATCGGCCCTGCCTCAGGTTCCTCCGTGAAGGACTGAGATTGCTTGATCTGAGTGGCTCAGATTTTGTCGCGGGCCCAGTAGGGCCTAACTTTGACTTTCCTGGGGCCTAGTTTTGGCTTCTTAAGCCCCTGGGTATGCCAATTCGCCGCCTCACCCCAGGTCTACCGATCTAAGGACTTTTTGAGACTCGTTTTGAGGCCCATAGACAGACATTTGACCCCTAAAACTCAATTTTTTGGCCAAAAGCTACGACCCAAAGACTATTTCCCATGCTGGCTCTACCCCATTTCCTAGCTTCCATTGGAGCTTTCCAGCAACTGCTTTCCCAAAAGTTCTTTGATGACTTAAGAACGTACTGGACCTTATTCAACTGATTGTTTGAAACAGATCCGGGACCAACCCTCCTGGGACCCTACAGGGATTGTCACCAGACAAAAAAAAAAAAACAAGAATGACATTAGGGTAAAAAACTGTTACCGGGATTGTTACCAGAAAAGAAAGAAAGAAATAAAAAGCGTCAGTCAATGGGACAAGGGTTAGTCCCGGACCTGTTTCAGTGAGACTCCTTTGGGCCTACTACCTTGCCCCTACTGTCACGTGAATGTTTGGAGCACTTATGACCCAGGGCGAAGAGCAATTCTTCACCCCTTACAACCCATTTTGTTCATTCCAGATACGAAGAAGGCACATGCCAGCGCATTGCACAACGGAAGACACACAGACACGGTCATTCGCTATGTAGTATTTATGACTATTTACAAACACTCACAATCAACGCTGCCGATCGGCACCATGCTGCTCCGGTAGCATTAGCAACAGCATACTCGTCCTCTAGCGCAAAACGCTCTGCGGCAGCCAAAGCAATAACTCGAGGATCTTGTAAGTTCACGCGATGTTCAAGCGTGATTGCCCACTCATTGCTGCATACACAAAACGCACAATGCAGAGTATCCACGGCAAAAATGTGTGTCATAAAGAGCAGACAGGAAAAGAAAAAGAAAAAGGGTGCCACACAGAGCATACAGTTGAATATACAAAACACATACCCTATCCAACGAATTTAACAGGGTGCTTAAAAAGCACGGGGCGCGGGGGGGGTGCGGGGGGGGGGGGGCCGTCTCGAGCAGGCACAGAATTAGTGTATTGTATTGTAGTGTAGTGCAGTGAAATGTAGTGTAGTGTAGTGTAGTGTAGTGTAGTGTAGTGTAGTGTTATGATCCTGGCCAATTTCGAAGTACACATTCATCAGATAGTATAATGCCATCCAATTGCAGAAAGAATTTCAGAGAAATGAATGAACTTGAGAGGAGACAGAGGGTAAGAAGAAGAAGAAGAAGAAAGAAAGAAGAAGAAGATGATGTACACCAAGCTCTTCTTCTTCGCCAGACTCTCTCCTCCTCCTTTACTACTTTCTTATTCACACAAGAAATAATAGTACAATGTTGAATGGCTGATCCAGAATCAATGTCCGAGTTCCTCTTCTACTGCAGGTATCACTTGAGGTCCACCATAGCCATGGCCGCCTCCCTCACTCTTCACTCTCATAGGCCGAGGCTATGGCGGACTACTGGGCCTTGCCCTGATGCCCAAAGGACAACCCAAAGCAGCTATGGCTGCTCTAGCTCAGGCCGTCATGTCTGACTCTGCCTCGAAGCTTCTTGGTGTAGCTCTACCCCCGTTGGGTCTTCCTGCTGCAGCACCCACCAAGGTGATGAAGATGGCTGCCACCATAGCCAGGTAAGTACCTCTAGCGCTCCCCCTTCCTCCTGCTCTTCTTCCTCCTCCATGTCCTTGCTCCTTCCCCAGCAGCGCTGCTCCAGCCAGCGCTCCAACCAGTGTGTCGCCAAACTTGCACACCGACAATGAGGCTGGGCTCTTCGCCCGGCCTGGAGATATAACGGACTGCTTGCCTCTTGGGCCGTGACTTCCAGGCCGCTCGGCCTTCCCAGCAACTGGTACCTCCTCCCTTTCGGAGGGAATCATGATTGCAGACTTTGATATTGCCCGTACAGGCCCTAGACTCAGACTGGTTGGACTGGTACCCGCCAGACCTAAACTACAACTACTGGGCCTCTCAAAATGCCACTTTTGTCTTCTTCTGCTTGGCCTCCAGTACCCGCACATCTACCTCTTCAGAATGCGGTACCGGCCTACCTGCTACTTGAGTGTTTTCCCCCCGCTGCAATCCCTCAATGTCACGGCCACAGGTAAGTACCGGTCCTGAGGGCCCAACGAACGGACAAGTACCCTTGCGGGCCACACACACACTCAAGCCAACCAGCACTCAGACAGACATGCAGACCAGCAAGCGTGGCCACACACACAGACATGCAGAAATTAGTAGCAAGCGGGAAACTCAGCAAGGCATTCAGTCCATGAGCAAAACTCAGAAATCAACTGTGTGTCTCAGTCCGTGTTTGGTCGGGTCATCACAGTAGTGTAGCCATGAAATAAATATTACCCATATGCAAGCATGGACATGAACAATACCAAGCAAGCTGTCTTTTTTTTATTTTCACTTTTTTTAAAAAAAAAGGGCAACGGCGGCGTTGAGATATCGCCATCGAGTTGACCAGCCCCAAGTAATTTAGAATTACTTCATTGCATACATCTAGGTCATACTTGCAACCGCACAGGCCGCACATTCGTGCGGAGTTCCGTGCGGGGGGTGCCTGTGCGGAATCGTGCAGGTTTTTTTTTTTTTTTGGGGGGGGGGGGGGGGGGGAACGGGTGGGCGTATGACCGGAAGATGGGGATGAGAGGGGGATATGGAGAGGAGGAGCAGGATGTGGACGAAGAGGACGACGAGGATAGCGAGGATAAGGAGGAGGAGGAGGAGTCGAGATGGGGGAGGAGAAGAGATGGACGGAGGGAAAAGAGGAAGGGCAGGAGGAGGAGGACGAACAGGAGGAGGAGTAGTAGGAGGAGACGAAAAGGAGAAGGGAGGAGGAGACATGGAGGATGAGGAAGGGCAGGAGGAGCAAGGTGAGGCAGTACTCCTGTAAATTTTTTTTTCATCTCGCTTATAATTTTGGCGGGGGGCCTCAAACGCACCGTTTCGATCCCGGCCTTTTTTTTTTCTGAGGGGGTTGACGGGTCGTTCCCCGCACACGTCGTGCGCCGCACGGGATCGGTTGGGCGCGTGCGCCGCACGTAGGGAACCGCCCGCACGACGTGCGCTGCAAGTATGATCTAGGTCCATCAAGATTTGAACTATTTTAACAGTTCATGGGTGTACGGACTGAGCTAGGCTCATCGGTACCAAGCAAGCTGTCTTCTTCTCCAGGGGGAAACAACAATACTGGAGTCTGAAGTATTGTTTCCCCCTGGAGACGAAGACAGCTTGCTTGACGGTTAACCTCAAAGTGTTTCAAGTTTGAACACAGCTGAACAAGGTTTTGAGGTTAACCGTCATCAGGGAGGAGGGAGGGAGAGTCTCAGTGAGACACACACACACACAGATATATATCTATTTGACGATATATATATATATATAGAGAGAGAGAGAGAGGGAGAGGGAGAGAGAGAGAGAGAGAG